AGTTATTAATGTAGTGAACGATTAATCAAAAGATATGACGTATTCAGTGCTTAGTGTGATTGGCTTTATGATTGAAGGTTACGCCCTAGAGTCTTTTTACTGTTTTGTAATTGGTTAGAGTTTTGAAAATGAATAAAGAGAGTTTGAGTTGGTCTTGGCGAATACTCCACGATAGACGCAGTCGAGTGCAGTCCTGGGCAGTCGAGTCGAGTCCGAGAGAGTCTTGGGGCGAGCCTTGACGCAGTCCAGTCTTGGGCGAGTCTTGGTTCAGCCTTGTGAGAGTCTTGGGGACTTTTCCCCAGGGCGCTGTGTCTGGTAGAGTGCTCGATTGACCGACTAAGACGAGAGCTGAAACGTATTTCGTTGTGTGTGTCTTATTTGACTGTAAAGTATAAGTGACTTTCCCGATCCCGTACCTCAAGGGGACGAGATAGAGAGACGAGACGAGTTCCCCCCTGACAAGTGTGGAGAACCCGAGAGAAAGAGGTTTTACCCCTGATATTTCTAACAAATGGTCGGTAAACTACTTACTCAGGTCCTCAACATTTTCTGCCCGTGTCACGTCATTCTAAGAGAGAAACACAGATGCATTACTCAATGAAATGAATATTACTTCTGCGCGTTATAATGTAAATACATTCTGATGTGTGGAAAATATACACAAAGTAAATTATGAAGTAGTAAGTAAATATATTATAATTATTATTAATTATATTATAGCATTGTCAATACCAGCAAATGTTATGACGTCATTGCCACAGATTATTCGCGATAATGTATTGCATTATTGAGTGAATGCTTTGTACCATGTATAGAATAAAATGTTCGAAAAACAAATAAATAGACGGGCATAAGAGAAATTATTGGATGAAAACGATTAAATCAAAACTGAAAATGAATAACTCTGAGCTATATACAAAATAATAATTTTTTCTTAGTTTACATGAAAAATGTCATTGCCGCCACAACGACAAACGCAAATCGTCGTCTGGCCAATCACAACTTCGCGAGAAGCCCCCAGTACCGACGTCCAACGCGTAAACAAACGTAGCTCAACAACGGCAAACACAATGGCTCGTTTTATCGATGTCGACGAATCCCAGTTAAATGTGCTCGAAAATGCAAGAAATTAAAAAAATACTTCACAGCAGACTATTTGGGGAGTACGTGTTACGCCACCCAATTTGAAGACCTCCCTGTCGTTGAGCTCGCCGACTTGCTATGGGATATTTTCGCCTCAGCCGACAAGCAAGATAGGGTGATGTCTAGTTTACGAGCTTCAACCCATCTACACATCACCCCCCCCCCCGATCATCGCAAAATTAACATCGTGTAGAATATGGAGTTCCAAGTTTGTCTATTTGTTGTATACGTGTTATGTTGATATGGCCGATGCACACTGTATTGTGCTTGTGTATGTGAACGGGAATCGTTGCATGAACGCGTTGACGTTATATACAGTATACAGATTACAAGGCCCACGGGCGCTTGCAACAGGATTTATGGTTAAGGGAGATAGGCTTGGGTAGGGTTATATACTAGTATAGAAATAAAGACAGGGTATGAAAAGTCCGCACTTGGAATCGCTGTACACCAAACGAATACGGCTGGTTTGTGAATAAACTCGCACACTACACTCACCAAAAAAGCAATCCACTTGACTATCAGACTCTTATTTATCCAATTTTGTCATACGTTTGTAATAATTTGTCTGTAAATTCGCAAAAAATGATAATTTCTGGCGCTATGGAGCGTCGCGGCGTGAAAAACACAACTACTCCCTGACAAGCTCCGCCCATCGAACGCTCATTGGTAGAAAGGGTTCGGGTCAAAGGGTCACACTCTCGCTCACCTCACCGGGGGATATCACCCTATATAATCAAAAGGTGACTCGTTTCGTTGACAGTGGTTGGTGCTCTCTCCGCTTCGTCGCAAGTCTGGCATCTCGCCGTTGATGCTTAATGATGTCAATGTCATTGAATTCTTCGCCCAGGTCAATTTCACCGACATATTGATTTTTGCCGCCCTTATTTTCAAGCTGCAAATCTTCTTATATGCTCATTTCATCCATTATTATATTGTCG